ATAATAATAATAATAATAATAATAGAAAAAAAAATTTAAATTCTTCTAAATCCTGTTAAACAGATCTACTTTTTTTAAGAATGTCATTAAATCATTATATATTTTATAATGATTCAAGCCATTATTCAACAAAGTTTTAAGTGTCATATTTTCTATCCCTATTTCTTTTAATTCTTCCAACAGAAATGCTCTTTCATTATCATAAGCAGAACAACGTAATAGTGCATGCTCTACTGTTTCTGGTAATCCACACAGACTACAGTTCCCAGACTCATGCTTATTCATTTTATATAGAGAAGAATTTAAGCAGTACGGCCAATGCGAAGTTTGGTAATAATTGTATCTTCTCTTCTACTACCAACATTAACTCTTTCAACCCCACCTTGATTTTGAATATGATAAAGATGTCTTCCTCTCTCCTCCTTATTCCAAACTTCTTGCCATCTCATTTTTATTGCTGTTCTAATTTTAGCCTTAACTTCTTCTTTGCTTAGTGGTATAATAATTTCTATATGTGATCATTTCAGTGCCTGTTTTGCTAAATGATCCGCAACCTCATTTCCATCCACTCCCACGTGTGCTGGAACCCACAGGAAACATATCTTAATTCCTATCTTATTCACTCTATACATACATAAAAGAATTTCATACAAAATGTCTTGTCTTGAAGATCTTCCACTGATAAGACTTGATAATGCAGAGAATGAATCTGAACATATCACCGCATTCATTGGCCGAGTATCCTCCATCCACCTGATAGCTAATAATATTGCTACCATCTCTGTAGTGTAAACTCCTACTTGATCAGAAACTCTTTTACCAATCTTGATTTGATAAGTTGGGACAAATACAGCTGCTGATGCTCGTCCTGTCTCGTGATCTTTGGAACCATCAGTGAAAATTGAGATTGCGGAGTTGTAATTCTGTTCTAGATACAGCTTAACCATGACATCTTTTGCTATTACTCTATTTTTGTCATAATAATTTCTTGCAAATTTAAGTCTACTAATGGTAAAGGGAATAACCAAGGTGAAATGGGTGACACTACTACTGCAGAGCTCATGTCTACATTTATTATTCCACATGACTGGGCTTCTTCTTC